TGAGGCCGTTTGAAGGGAATTGGGTGGAGGACCGGGCCGAGATGCTACACTGCCTTAGCATAGACAACGTCTTTGTCCCTAGCTCTGTGCATTGGGGGATAGTCTACAAAAATGTCGTAGTAGGGGAAACATTCCTTGAAGGTGGGAAGGATTTGTTCTACAACGAAGAGGACGACTTTAGTGACATGGACGAAGAGGATGAGATAGAGGACTGGGATTTCTAAGGTAGGGACTTACCTAGGGGGACCGAGTGGTTCGGCATTGTGCAGGGAGGGAAAGAGATGACTAGAGAGAAATTGATGATAGAATACGCCTTCAAGCGATGAGAACCAATGCGACTCAAAGGAGGAATGAAAATGCCTATACCAGCAGAAAATGAATGGAGGGGAACCACATGCGACTGGGCCGGGTTTGAGGTTGCCCCGGGACTATCATATGTATCGATAGAGCGGATTTGGAACCCGATAAGGGAAGAGGAAGGTTGGGACGAGGTAGCGGAAGGCAAAGTGGATTCGGTCGGGACTGTCGTTTTTTTCGAAGATGGGTGGCACCTATTTTGCACTATGACAGCAGCATGACATGATCCGATGTGGCTTCTGGGGGATGCAGAGGCGCGGACCCGAAAAGAGGGCAAGAGGTTCGCCAACGGAGGATGGGACGAAGTCAGTAGTAGAGTTGTGATGGTAGGGTGGAAGGAACTCAAGCCCCCCAACCTTCGAACAACGGCTTGGGTGCCTGAGTTCGTGGCCGAGTGATTTGGGGGGTTTGGGGGTTTGAGCATATTGTAGAAGTGGCCGACTCCATGAAAGAAGTGCATATAGAGTGTGCCTGGCTGACTGAGGAATTTTATAAGACCTTGTTAAAATACGGGTCCTTCTACGGAGATAAAGCCCAGGAAATTCTCACCATCCTAAGGATAGGTAAGTATCATCGTCTAGAGGTGGACGCGGAGGCCTGGGACGCCATAGTTAGCTGGGAGGCGGCGGTCGCTTCATCCTACGTGGATGACGTTTTTAAACTGTTTGAAGTACTGTGGTTCGATTAAGAGGACCGGGAAATCAAACGCCGCGGGAAGATCAGAGTATGGAGGGTGCATGTAAACTAGGGTGTAACATAAGAAAGGGGGATGTACAGTAGTTTAGCAGGGTATGTGAGGAGATTGAAAGAAGGGGAGACGTCCCACCATTATGGGCGCAGGCATGGGACGCATGACAAGAAAGAGGAAAGGGGACATAAGCAGGAAGGAAAAACAGTAGGAAGCTGAAAAGTTGCTGAAGAACGGGCCGTAATTCTCTCTGTGTGGGCTATGCAATAAATCACCAAAACAACGATGACAGCAAGATGCTATGTAACCGGCTGAACGTCCTGAACGCGCGTTCACGTTCAAACGCGCGCGTTCATACCTCCCGGGGCCGCGTTCAATCGCGTTCAAACGCGTTACGCGCCATGTGGCACGAAAAAATTGAACGTGACCCCGGGGGGCACACGCGCGCGTTGCGGACTACGGGGTGGTGGGGCTCGTTCATCGAACCCTGAAAGTGCAAAAAAAAAAAAAAAAACGGGAGGCCTACTCCCCCTACCACGTCACCCCCCGCCATATGTGAAGAATCCTTTTTTTTTTTTTTGGGAGGGGGTGGGGAAATCCCCCTAACACGGCTCAGATGACCCATGCATGCTATCTGAAGGGTCCCCGCTGCCATGTAGCGCAGACCCCCCCACCGAAATCAAGGCAGGCAGTGAATGTGAAGTAGAGCACGAGCTGGCCGAATATATACTCAAGATTCGAATTCAGGTCTGTGTTTCAGCAGTTATGGGTTGCTCACGTAGCTAGGCCCTGCACGTGATTCTCAGGGCTTGGCTGCAGTACTCACCAAATGTGCAAAACTAGAATGAATCTTCTGCAGAACATGGAATAATACGCCTCCATATATTTTGTCTTTTGTGCATGTGGTGAGTAGATGCCCTTAGGGCCACTGCACGTATTCCTAAGAAAATAAAAACGAGAAAAAAAGAAAAAAGAAAAAAAGAAAAAAAAAAGAAAAGAAAAATGAGACAAAAAAAAAAACAAGAAAAAAGAAAAACGAGAATTTTCTCTCGTTTTTCTTTTCTTAGGAATACGTGCAGTGGCCCTAAGGGCCTCTACTCACCACATGCACAAAAGACAGAACATATGGCGGCGTATAATTCCATGTTCTGCAAAAGATTCATTCTAGTTTTGCACGTTTGGTGAGTAGTGCAACCAAACCCTGAGAATCACGGTAGGGCCTAGCTACGTGAGCAACCCATAACTGCTGAAACACAGACCTGAATTTGAATCTTGAGTGTATATTCAGCCAGCTCGTGCTCACTTCATATTCACTGCCTGCCTTAATTTTGGTGGGGGGGTCTGCGCCACATGGTTGCGATGACCCTTCAGATAGCCCGCATGGGCCGTCTGAGCCGTGTTAGGGGGATTCCCCCATCCCCCCGAAAAAAAAAGGACCCTTCGCACACACACACACACACACACAGTCACACATACTCTCTCTCTCTCTCACACGCACACACACACACAATTTCACACACACACTCTTTTTTTTTTTTTTTTTTTTTTCCGTTTTGCCTGGGGCATTGGCCCACAGCCCCTTCCCAAGCACCGTCGCCGCTCCCCACACTGCCCATAGCCCCCCCAAGCACCGCCGCCGCTCCGCAACGCCCCCGGCAGCCCTCCGGGGCGTGGGTGGCGCTCTGCACGTTCGCGTACAGAGCGTGCACCCTCGTTCTTTGAACGCGTGTTCAACGCGTTCAAAAACTGAACGGGCGGCAACACAGGCAAGACGGGTTCGAATGGTACGCCAGCCCCGGTACCCCAGACTGCCCTGGAATAACGACAGAGGGTGGGAAGTGTCCCTTCCATCAAGTCCCGACTTTCGGGGGTTCGACGTAGAATGGCGGACCATTGCCGGGACAAATACCCTGACAAGGGTATTCGTCGGGGTTTTTCAACGTCGGACGCTGTCCAAATTTTTTGCTTAAATGAAAGACTTGATGAGGCTGATGTTTGTCAAAAGTTTATTCAGACCAACCCTATAACTGAGATACCTAAAACCTGACGTCGTTGACGTATGACGTCATTCGCGTTGGATCGAAACAGCGGGAGTCAGCGGTACGACTTGTCGTTCACGGTTCCTGATAAGGCCGCAGAGGCACGCGGACATGGGAACGTTAAAGTTAGACCTATTCTACCTAAAATAATGTCTCACGGCTGCTAAGCCGCGATTCAGAGCCTACGAGGCTACTAAGAAGCGTCGTACGAGGGTTCAAACCACGACAGTGGCCGAGAGACCTAGCAGCCCGCTGTGGTGTGGGCAGGAGACTGCCGCAGTTGATACTCGCGGTCAACCGATGGGGCAAGGCCGGTTAACAGGGCTTGCAAACCCTCAAGCAGGCGATGCCTACAGTGTCACAGGCAGGCAAAGCCTGCAAGGCCACGACATGGGGAAGAACTAATTGGGCGAGCTCTTCATATAGAAGAGTTTCTCCTATCACTATCGTGATAGGAGCTAACCCAGTAGGTTACAGTATACGACTCTTACCCGACGGACACTAGGATCGAATCTGATATGTTGCAGCCTACAAGGCATGACTCCTTTTTTGGAGCAGCCCTGGACTTTGAGCGCGGCCGTTTTCGGCCGTGCGATCATTCAGATCGCGCGGCTGGAAACAGCCGTGCAGATTAGCATAGGCCTTGCGCAGAGGATGACATGCATAAATCAAGAAATCGGCTGAATTTGTTTTCGATTCCCTGAAGGGAATCGAACCCCGGTCTGCATAGCAGAAGGGGGAAGGGGGAGGCGCCAGCAAGGCACAGGGACAAATGTCGAGACCGTTGGCTTATGCCAATGGTAAAATAAATAAAAAAATAAAAAAAAACACAAAACGTACGAACAACGTCAGGTGGCGCACTAAGAAGAACAGGGACTTATAGTCCCTGAAAAACAGGCGCCGATTTCAACGGCGCCAGACAATTTTTGTTTTATTTTATTAGATATTTTTTTTTTTAGATTCTCTCTTAGTTATTTTTTAAATTCTTTCGTTTTTCTTTTTTTTTGACGAAACTGAAAACGCCCGTTTGTCGAAAACGAACGGGCAAAGACTGTTTCGTTGGAATCCCACCAACTCGTCAGGGGGTTACAACCTCGACAGTCTACCTCGGTGCATGGACCTGGCGCCGATAGCGCCTACATACCTGTGGTTGGCCCACACACACAGAGAGAGAGAGAGAGAGAGAGAGAGACAGAGAGAGAGAGAGAGAGAGAGAGAGAGAGAGAGAGAGAGAGAGAGAGAGAGAGAGAGAGAGA